TATTATATATATTATATTATATTTATCAAATACCTTATGTACATGCATCGTTATCATCTTTGGTTTTATGAGTATCGGCTTCATGATTATTTTTAGCGGATTTGTTTAGCATTATCAGTAATAACCTTAGTGTTAGTAGTTGTGTTGGTGCTAGTAAGAGCATAAGTAAGTACGACTATGAGTGTTATCAGTACTGGTGCTATTTTTATTAATGGTTAAAGCAGGGCCTTACAGCAGGCCTTATCGTCTTATCGCATGTGGCCATAGGCCCTATGCATGGTCATTGTTCATGTTTCGGGCATTTGCCGACTCACTGTCACAGCTAATCATGGATGACGAGCATGCAGGATCAACACCAGCTGGCGAGTGATTGCCACGCACGTGGAGCAGCCGGATCAGGGGGTCATTCTGCGCTGGCGCAAGCGGACGGGGGTGCAGCAATCCGTGCCCCTGTTGCATGTAAGCTTCGTACCAAACCCTCGTGGCCTCACAGCAAAAGTGAGCCGTTACGAGCCCTGAGGTTTTCTTATGCGTGAAGGCCAAAGCAGATCCGGATCCCTCACGGGGCTTGGAGGGTGATGAGATCTGCATCGACATGGCGAACCAAGAGCGTGTTGATATGAAGAGCGAGAGTAACATCATTGTCGAATTCTTCTTCTCTGCGTCAGGTCGGGCCTTGCTTTGGCCTTCCGATCTTGCAGAAGCCTGGTAATCCTAGTAGCCGCTACGTGCAAGTTTTTTTTGTCCGTGGCTTCACAGGCAGCAAGGGCTACCCTGCAAACGCCGGCTACGAACCCACCGGCAAAGATCTGAAGTGCCAGTACAACTATCGATTCCAGATCGAGGGCTACAACCACAACCAGGATGGTCTCACGCTCTCCACGCGCTCGTTCTAGGTAACTAAGCACTTTCCCCTTCGCTGTCCCAGCCCTCTGCACTGCACGTCCCGATGCCGCAGCCACTTCATGCTTGTGTTTATCCTTCATTCGCGCTCCTCTATCACATGCTCGACCGTTTTGATGTCCCTTTTGGTTCTGCATTCGAGAAAAATGTGACAGCATGGAAAGGAGCATGTGGCGACCTCAGACTGGTCCAACGAGGTGTACATCAAGCCAAGGAGACCTTACCAGTTCAACCTGATTCTTCCAGTGGGGTAGAGCTCCAACCCGTAATCCCCGAACCCCCGAAACCCCCTTTCAGCTTGACTCTCCTGCCAGGAGCACGGTCTTTGACGTACCTTTGCGCATTCTCAAGTCGAACTTTGCCGTCCCAACCAACTCTTTGGAGAGCCCTGGCTGCGAGACCTGAGGTATTATCAGCATGGTACTACTAGTCATTCATCAGTACTAATCCTATGCATTAATCATCATTAGTTACTATGTAGTATTGAAGTATTGGTATACCAAAAGTACTGTCGCGCACACTACCAAGCCCACATCAGTAAGCCTTTTGAAGGCTCTATCAATGTCCTTGCAGCCAGGTATTTTGTGGAGCATTTCGCGGAGTTCAACATTCATGGCAAGCATCCACAGCAGTTGGTGATATTAAGCAGCTAAGATGCAAGTGCCAGGCAACCTGTCGTTCCGGTGAATCTGTCGAGGCATTCCTGCATGTCCACTGTATGTGCGGAGGTAAAATCAAGGTCTGCTACCACAAGAATTGGAATGACTTCCGAGCTCTTTGGCTTTGCAGGTTCCCAAGTCAGCAACGGGTTATGTATCCATCCGCCAAGGACTGCAAGTCAGACTTTCGCCTCACCGCCTACATGGGCGAGAGCAGCGTGAAATGCGAGAAAGACACGAGGTCCGGCACTGTACGGAACTTCGACACAACCGGACTATTTCAACCCCTGGACGTCGTCGTTTGGCATGGCAATTTTGGTGCATCACTCTGTCCATCATTCTTGCTTCTCACGGGGCTGCTGCGTGGCTGGTAGACTGAGGGCATGGATATTGACGACGACGAGGAAGCCCGCACCCAGGACTTGCAAGTAACAAAGAAAAAGCAACCACCATCGCGATCAGCGTCAGAACTCTTGGTCTGTGAGGAGCTGGACGATGCGATAATTGGACCCAACCAGTCGCTAGAGCTGGGTGCAGGAGATCGAAGGTGGCACCACAAGGGAGCACGCCGTAGGTTCCGAAACCGACGCTTCTGGCAGATCCCCGAAAAGCTGTGTGAGCTTCGGTTGCAATCTTGAAAGATTGCTCGGAAGAGGCTTACCGATGTCTTCATTACGCTGCGAAAGTCCTCCGGGGAAGACGTCGCTGAAGGCCGATCGTGAAGAAGTTCAGGACTTGCTTACCTTCCGGAGCCTAGAAGCGCAAGCACCCTATCGTTTCGTACATCGAAGAGTCGAAGAGGGTCACGTTTGCAGGTAAGCTGGACTGGTGGGACCTCGTCGAGGCTTTCGAGCAAGATGAGGACCAACAGATATTCGTGGAGCTCGTCACGGACAAGGTGCGGGTCTCCTGTGAATGCCAAATGCGCTAGTACCGAGAAAGCCAGAACAGCACTCGCTTTGAGAGTCCGAGCTGCGAGTGTCTACCCCCAAGATCCGGACCAAGCAATGCAGGGATATATAAGATTAAGGCCAACAACAATCATAAAGAAATGCGCGAAAACTAAGCGAAACTGTCTATCAACAGAACCCCCTTCTGATAAGTACATAGCTTGCGTACCTGTGCAAAGCCTTCTCTCAGGTCGAAGGCGAGTTTGACGAGGAATGGCTTGTTTGGGTGGAGGCCGAAGTCACCTTCCGAAACGAGCTCCTCGAATCCTCGAACTCAGGTTTCTTTTCCTTCACTTTGTCAGGTTTCGATTGGTGCCTAGGCCTGAAGTCACACACCCTGAACTGCAGGCTTTCAAAGCAAAGGAGTTGTCCGCGTTCGTGGGTCAGAGTGTAACAAGCGAAATCCGAATCTCCAGCAGCCCAAGGACCTCAAAAAGAGTCCAAGCCCGAAGCCTTCAACACTCCACTACCCATGCTGAGGCTGGATCCCGAATGTGAGCAGATGCCCTTCAAAGACCGCTTCTTCCAGTCGGACCCACCCGGAGAGCCACTGGGCAGATCTGGGGTTCGGCAGGAGCTCTGATGTCAGACGCGCAAGACAGGGCTCCAGGAACCTGGTATGATTGGCTTGTCCAATTTGGGGCCTTTGCTGAAGCGATTAGATTCGCAACAGCGCTTGCAGGGGCTAGGGGAGGGTTCAGGGGCTGGAAAGCTTTGTTCTGGACTCTTCCGTTGGCTGCAAGTGGCAGTAGTTAAGAAGAGATATCTACAATCTCGTTTTTGTCTTTCTGTATGTAGATGAATGTGTACACCAACCAACCAACCCAACCCAACCCAACCCA